CACACACACACACACACACACACACACACACACACACACACACACACGGCTGTTGCACAGAGAAACAAGCCTGTCTCAGAAAAAAAAAATTGACATTTTGAGGAAGTGTTACATTTTTGAGGAGTGATGTCCTTTAAACAAACTTTTACTTCTGTAAGGTCTTTCCTTTGTTTGGTTTGGGGTTAGTTTTGTTTTGTTTGGGGTGTTTTATTTTATGAAACTTAATGCAGTGACCCTCCGGCCTTCGCTGCCCCCATTGTGGGATTATAGGCATACTACCATACCCAGAGTTTTTTATTCATTTGTTTAATTTATTTTATGTGTATTGGTGTTTTGCCTGCACATATGTCTGTGTAAGGCTGTCAGATCTTGAAGTTACAGCCAGTTGTAAGCTGCCATATGGGTGCTGGGAAGTGAACCCCAATCCTCTGGAAGAGGAATCAGTGCTCTTAACCATTAAGCCATCTCTTCAGCCTCCAGAGAATTTTATTTCTAAGCTGACTTTTGAAGAGGTTCATGCGTGTGACCAGCATGTAACAGTGTCCATTTAAAGCAGAGTTGCTGGTGAGTGAGCCAAGAACCAGAAAGGCAGCATAAACCTGCAGTGTCCACAGAGCCAATGTGTCCTCCTAGCAGGAGGGACAGTCTGAGAACAGAAGACAGGGAGTGACGAATTTGCCCAGTCAGCTTAGACACAATATATACAGTAAATAGTGTCATACCAAACTTCATCGGCAGACAGTACTATTTTAGTAATAGTCCAATAGCATTTTAATAATTAATTCCTAACAAGCAGAAATTCATGAGGCCATAATATGTCTTCAGCGCACTCCTGCTGTCTACCCCCAGGTGCGTGTTTGGTTTGGTTTCATTTCTGTGAGATTTTGGTTAAATACAAACCACGGTGGCTTGTTTTAGCGTGGAGGAGTGAAGGTAAATTGCTGTTGGGGCTTTACCAGTACCAACCTGCTGTTTGCTGTTTCAGTGCTGGGCCTGTCGCTTCCCATATGGGCCATAGCGCTCATTTCCTTTGGCGTTGCTCTGCTCTTTGCCTTCTTTGTGTGGCTCTTCGTGTGTCCATGGATGAAGAGGAAAATAGCAGGTAAGCAGACTTTTGTTCTTCCGAATTGCAAAGCTGTTCTTGATTCCTGAGACTCTCCATGTAAACAAACACATATCCTTTAGAGGAACTGGAGGTATGGTTACCAGGACTGTGGGAGGAAAGCTCCGGCCTCCGCTCAATACTTGTGTTTCTGGCTCCTATAGTTCCTTGGTAATTTGTGACCTGCATGAGCATCGTTATTTGTTTCCAAGCATAACTCTGAGTTAATAAATACAGCCAGATACTCCAGGCTTGATAGAAAACATTCATCTTTTGGAAAATGCAAACATTTGCCATAAAAGAAAACTTGTGTCAGGAGTGGCTAACTTTAAAAGACCGACTAGTCCAAGTGAAATAACTTGAATTCTTACAGATCCATGGTGGATTGGCTACAGAGTGGCCTTGCCATTATATTTCAGTGTGCGCACATCTCAGTTTGAAAGTCTGTGTTTAAGAGCCTAAGATAGGTAGGGGCTGGAGAGATGGCTCAAAGGTTAAGACTACTGTCTGTACTTCCAGAGGTCCTGAGTTCAGTTCCCAGCAACCACATGGTGGCTCATAACCATCTATTATAAGATCTGGTGCCCTCTTCTGCCCTGCAGGTGTACATGTAAATAGAATATTGTATACATAATAAATAAAATATAAAAAAAGAGCCTAAGATAAATGAAGACTCAATGAGGCCAAGGTGTTGGTTCTTCCCAAGTTGATTTGTAGGTAGAACGTAAGTGTAAACTAAAATCCCAGCTACACAGTAAGTTTGAAGCCAACCAGGGCTACATGACACCCTATCTCAAAAACAAATAAACAAAATTGTTTAATTTATTAAAATAATTTTAACAAGTCTTACTATAAGTGTTATGCCCTACTTAAAAATTAACTCAAACTGTACCATAAGTCTAAATGTAAAAAAAAAAAAAAAAAATCTTAAGACATTTTGGGTGTAAGAACTTTCATAATCTTGGTTAAAGAGACACCAACCTTGGTGCATAGGAGAAATTTACAAATTCTACAACATTAAAATTGAAAACTTGCTCTGAGAAAATATGATTAAGGGGAAACTATCATGAAACTATGGTAAGCAATTTCAAAAAAAACCCAGCTAAAACATGAACAAAATATTTTTTAATGTATTTTTATTATTTTCATCGTGCAGACATGTGCACCTCTGTGTGGGAGCTTGCACACTGCAGACGCCCATCGACGTCACAGCTGTCGGACAGCCCTGCAGCTGTGATCAGAGCCTGTTTGTGAGCCACACAAGCAAGTGTCAGGAAGCAAGCTGGGTCCTCTGGAAGAGCAGCACTCGCTCTTAAGCTCTGAGCTGTCTCTCCAGATAGCGCAAAATATCCACACAGTTCACCAGAGCAAAGATATAAATGGCAAGTGAGCCCACAGCCCATGCAAGGCTCAGTGTCATTAACGATCAAGGAATACAACATGAAATGAACAGGAGATATCCCTTCACACCTGTCTGAATGGCCGCTTAACACACTGACCATGCCAACTGCCAGGAGGAAACAAAAAACCAGCCAGAACTTTCCGGCACCAGTGTTGAGAATACAAAGTGGCACAGGAGGCAGCTTGGGTAGTTCTTAGATCACGTATGCACTGGCCATACACATTCCCTGACCCAGTTCTAGGTATTCCCCGGAGAAACAAAAACCAAGTTCATACAAAAAGCTGTTCCTAGCACCTTTATTGCTGTCACCCAGAACAGCACACAGACACACACTGCAGACAGTAACCGTCCCCGCACAGATTATCCCCCGGATAAATGAAATGATGACTCCACCCTCCAGTGCCCGGCAGTAACAAGGAACTGACTGCCACGTCTTTAGCAGCTTGGACACGTGGCAGAGTCAGTGTGCTGAGAAGCGCACTGCCTCCGGAAGACTTTCTGGAAAATGCAAACGTGGAAGGTCAAAGAGAAGATGAGCGGTTGTCTCAGGTAGAGCTGGGCACAGCGTCTGAGTGCCAGGAGCCAGTGGGGGTCCAGGGACTCCTTACCTCCTCACACATGCAGTCAGCTTACTGTGTATGAACTGTAAAACTAAGAAAGTTTATGGGTCTGGAGAAATGGCTCCGCAGTTAAGAGTGTGTACAGCTCTTCCAGAGGACCCAAGTTTAATTTTGAGTCCCAAGCACCCACACGGAACAGCTCACAAATGCCCATATGCATGCACACACACAGAAATAGCAAAGGAGCTAGAGAGATGCTCACAAGTTGAGAGCACTTGTTGCCCTTAAGGAGGATGAAGGTTTGGTTCCCAGCACCCACCAGGCACCTCACAGCTGTCTGTAATATAATTCCAGAGGATGTGACCCCAGCGTCAAGTAAATGGGATCTTTTTACTTGTTTCATAGAATCTGATATGATAGACGATAATTATTGACTAGGAGAAAAGAACAAATATACTGGGATAATGTCTTTGGAGACAAGCTTGATAAGCACTCAGCGACTCAGAGGCTAGTCTTATCGAGAAGGGTTGTGTATTTATAGCATGTCAGCCCTGGGCAGTCAGGTTTAACTGTCTTTTGTTGGGTTTAGATGCAGTAGTAACTCAGGCATAAATACCCACCATTTACTCCGTAGCCGTCTTCAAGATCATTGATTGACATTCCTATTTCATTTCCCCAGTATACCTAGAGCGTTTTGTTTGCAAGGTAAATAGTAAAGTGTAAAGATATGTGTTCACATCTTGATATTTATTTTAAAAAGAAAAAGAGTACATTTTCTAAACATGTGCTTACTTCTTTTTCTCTAGGCAAATTAGAAAAGGAGAGTGCCCTGTCCCGCACCTCTGATGAAAGCCTCAGGAAAGTCCAGGAAGCGGAGTCCCCTGTCTTTAAGGAGCTCCCAGGTGCCAAAGCCAATGATGACAGCGCTGCCCCCCTCACTAACCTGTCTGGGGAGGCTGGGGGAACCTCGGAAGGCACATCAACAGGGAACCACCCCCGGGCTTCCTATGGTAAGGCTGACCCAGGGAGACCTCCTCAGGAGGAACCAGCCAGGCTGGCATGGGCACAAAAGTGCCCCCAGATTTCATGTTGCTGAAATATTTTGACGGACAGGGACCCAATCCAGAGCCTTGTGCGTGCTCAGCACGTGATTTTCTACTGAGTGACATAGCCCCCTCCCTAAAGAAGCCTCTGCTGATTATTTTCAGGACGGGCACTTTCCATGACTCACGGCTCTGCAAAGTCACCCATCTCCAACGGCACGTTTGGCTTTGAAGGCCACATGCGGAATGACGGTCATGTCTATCACACCGTACACAAAGACTCGGGGCTCTACAAAGACTTGCTGCACAAAATCCATGTAGACAAGGGCGCCGAGGAGAAGCCAGCTCAGGAGAACAACTACAGGCTGCTCCGGAGGAACAACAGCTACACGTGCTACACGGCGGCCATCTGTGGCATGCCGGTGCACGCCACCTTCCGAGCCTCGGACAGCTCCTCCGCCCCTGAGGACAGCGAGAAGCTGGTGGGCGACACCGTGTCCTACTCCAAGAAGAGGCTTCGCTACGACAGCTACTCTAGCTACTGCAACGCAGTAGCGGAGGCGGAGATTGAGGCTGAAGAGGGTGGTGTGGAAATGAGGCTGGCCTCTGAGCTGGCCGACCCTGACCAGCCTCACGAGGACCCCTCGGAAGAAGAGAAGGAGGAGAAGGACACTGCAGAGGTCCACCTGCTGTTCCACTTCCTGCAGGTCCTCACTGCCTGCTTTGGGTCCTTTGCTCATGGTGGCAATGATGTGAGGTGATCATCCTTATCCATTCAGCTAACTCACAGGGAGGGTCCGCTATGTGTTGGGACTCGAATTCCTGCCCCTGGGCAAAGGGCAGCAGGCAGTAAGCAAACAGGAAGCCACCCACAGAATGCACTAGAGAGGAGAGGAAGATGAGCTAGCTGCATGGGGATGCTCACTGATCAGCTCTAAAAGAGCTCAGGGAACCAGCCACGAGACTCTTGCAAGAGGCACAAAAGGGGAAGCAGAGTGTGCTAGACTGTGCTGCAAAGAGCAGGGAGCCTTGGCAGGAGGAGGTGGAGACTGAGTCAAGTCATGGTGCAGTCACGTAGAGACAGAAAGGAACTGTGTTCTAGGCAAGGCGGTGCAGCTGGTGTCTGCACTGCTCCCCAGCCCAGGGTTTTGCTTGGTCCCAGGAATTCAATGCTAGCCTGGGCAATGCAGCCAGATCCTGTCCTAAAAATAAGTTGTTCGGGGGCTGGAGAGATGGCTCAGCAGTGAGAGCAATTGTCGCTCTTGCAGAGGACCCAGCTCGCCACAGCCGTCCTTCACTCCAGGTGCAGGGGAGTGCCCTCTTCTGACCTCCGTGGACACCAAGCATGTGCATGGTGGACAGACATACACAGCAAGAAAAATCTACACTTACAAGAAATAAGTACTTTAAAATTGAAAAAAAAAAATAAGTTTTGGGAAGAAGGAGTTTTTTACTATAAGAGAAGAGGGAGCTAGTGGAAGGGCGGACAGGCCCCTCGTTTAACAGGCTCCCTCTGGCTTAGTCTGTGACTGCTGAGGGAATGGGGAGCAGTTAGGATGTTACTAACAACGATCCACGAAGAGACAGCCAGCCTCGAGCAGAGAGATGGTACCGTAGCCAGGGTCTGGATATTTTATTTTGAATGTGGGACAGTAGAATTGACAAGCAGTTAGACCAGTGGTTCTAGCCTTCCTCATGCTGTGACCCTTTAGTACAGTCTCTCATAGTGACCCCAATCATAAAATTGTTTTCACTGCTACTTCATAACTTGTAATTTTGCTGCTGTTATAGATTATAATGTAAATTTTTTAATATGCAGATGGTCTTAGGTAACCCCTGTGAAAGATCCACAGCTTGGGAACCACTAAATTAGATATAAGTATGAAAGAAGGAGGCCAACTGAGTTCAACAATTTTGGTTGTAGCAAATCTGAGGGTGAGCTTAGTCTCACTAGCAAGAACAACCCAGAAAGGACTGGTTTGGGCCAGAATTAGATATAAACCCAAAGACACCGGCAGCTTCCAAGTGACGGCCAAGTTAGCAGCCAGCTGGGTACGTCTGAGGTGGGGAATGATGAGGCTGGGTGCACATGGGAGCCTGTGCCCAGAAGGCAGTGGTGCTAAGTAGAAATCCTGGGCATGAGGGAAGTAAAGGAAAGAGGCAGGGTACACACATGAGCCCTGTAGCTTCATGGAGAGTGATGGAGACAACAGGAAGTTATGACATGGACAGTTCATACCTAGAAAGATGAATGACAGGAGTGTGCGGAGCACGGAAACAGGCGTGGGCACATCGCTGAGCAGGGGGTGGGAGGGTGTTGTATACTTGACCTCTTTGGGATGTTATAACAACAAAAACAACTCCCTTGTTTTGATTCTATCCCCTGTAAGATAAACAAGACAGGATCCACCTCCCTTATAGGACTGGCCCCAGGGTACGTGGTCCCCAACCATTACTTGTCACTGTCCCCAGAAACACTGGTGATAACCATAATAATGCAGCAGCAGCATTGGCATCCTGTGGACGTGGGCAGGAGTGCTGTGGGGACTGCTGCCGTTTGGAAGACCTGCCTTGGTAGTGCCTACCGTGCAGGGAGAGCCTGGGGGGTCTTCCTAGGAGGGCTGCCTGGCAGGAGACAGAATGAGGAGATGCTGAGGAATAGACACTGTTAGCTTCCAGCTGGCAGTTGTCTGATACAGCTTGCTACGCACTCGCAGTGTGGTAAAGCAGCAGGTGCCCCCGCCATGAACCTTCAGGAGTTGAAACTCTGGCTGAAGAGATCAGAAAAACATACACGAAAAGTACAGTTCCCCAACACAGCAGCTGCCTAAGATGACAGAGCAGTTGCTTACAACTCAGGAGCTGCCATTGAGGCTTTTAAACAAAATCTAAAGAGCAAGATTCTAGAGATAGTGATCTGACAGCAGTCACCTGGGCAGAGGCATACCAAGTACCTGCCAGGCCTCAGTGTGGAGCCATTTGCAATTTACTCTAACCTTCTTCAGGACCGCCCTCTGAGCGAGGTAAGTGCTGTCCTTCAAAGATGAGCCCAACGCTAAAAAAAAAAAAAATGGGAAGTTACCTACCCAGAATCCCACAGAGCTGACTTGGAAGCCAGTCCACGCTGCCTCTCAACCCACAATCAGGCTACACAGCTGTGTCAGCTAGGGCGCTAGATCTGGAGGGACCACACCACGACCACGTGTCAAAGCTCTGGCTAGGCTGCTGGAGGCCCGGCAAACAGCAGTGTCCAGGGCAAAGGACATACGCAGGTCTAAGCAGCGTCCATCTTCCGCACTGTGGCTTGGGCATTCTCATGTGAGGCCAAGGGGAGGTGCCCGGCCTCCAGGATAGTTGTAAGAACCCAGGTCATCAGTGGTGTCCCACAGCGTGAGGACTGAGCTGGGATGAGAAGCTGTGGAGGTGGCAGCGGAAACGAGGCATTTGAAAAACCAGGGGAAGGCAAAAGTGAACCTGGTTGTTGGGTTTACCCCAAGTGATTTTTCTTTATAGAGTATCTTTTCACAAGCATGTACTTACACTTAACACTACTCACTCTACCTAAAGGGCTAAGATGGCCAATTTTCTGGCATGTTGGTTTTAGCAATAAAAGCCATATTTATAAGCACCCTACAAATACAGTAAGATGAGCTCACGATATATTGTGTAGAGTGCCGTGCCGATGGGTAATTAACCCTTTTCACTTCTCTTCTTTGCCAGCAATGCTATTGGTCCCCTTGTGGCCTTGTGGCTGATATACGAACAAGGTGGAGTCATGCAAGAAGCCGCTACTCCGGTCTGGCTGCTGTTTTATGGAGGAGTTGGGATCTGCACGGGTCTCTGGGTTTGGGGGAGAAGAGTGATCCAGACCATGGGGAAGGACCTCACGCCAATCACACCGTCCAGGTGAGGCCCAGGTCAGGCCTGAAGGGGAGGGCTCAGGAGATAGGCCTCACTGCAGAAGTGAACACCTCAGCGAGGCCTGGCGAGCAAGGGCAAAGCACAGGTGCAAACTGGAGTGTGCCTGTCCCCCAAACTCTCTAGCCACACCCACTCTCCTGCTCTAGGACCCATCCGGGTCTCTTCTATGCTAGTTGGCTTTCTGTTGCCAATACAAAACCTCTGAGGTGAGTAGTTTAGAGAGAGAGAAGGTTCCCTGTGGCTCACATTTTCACAGGTGTTGGTCCATTTTCAGTCTGTCCTCATTCTTCAGGTGGCCAGAGAGGGCACATCATGGTGGGAGGCTGGCACAGGAAAACAAAACAAACAAGACCCACCTCCCAGCCAGGAATGGAAAGCAGACAACAGAAAGGCCAGAGTTCTGCGCCCTCGACGATACGCCCTAGTGATGCAGACACCTTCTTAAAGACTACCCCTCCCAAGAGCACCATCCTCAGGAACAAGCCTTTGACATATGGGCCTTTGGAGGACACGAACTCTAAGACATGGCATCTGCCTTTATCCCCACATTTTTAAGCCCTGAAATCTGTCATTCCCCAGGACTTTCAGAACATGCACCTCTCTGTCCTGAGTGGGGTCTACAGTGGCACGTTTGGTCATTCTATAGTGTAGTCTTTGGGTGTGTTGACAGTTAAATAGCAGTCTTAGCTTACAGAATACCACTGAAAATCAGATCTGTCTGTTGTAGGACATCTCTTTTCTCCATTTTTTAAAAACGCATTTTTAAAACACATTAGGGATTTCTGTCTCTTTTTTGTCATTTTCCTGTTTGTAATTTTCAGCTCCCCACCCTCAAAATCCATTTTAACAATAGGTTGTTGAAGAATGGACTGAAGAAAACCTGGTCATCTGGAGATTAGTTTCATAATAAGTTCACAGGTTTAAGATGAGCACCTGGCTTTTCCCATGCCCCTTTAGAAGCGAGTCATTTATCATCTTACTGCACAGCAGGAATTTCTGACCCAGTTCCACACTTCAGGTTGGAAAACATGTTAGGAAAACAAGGTCACTGGGTGTCAGCTGCACAGCCCGACGCCATGCTGTGAGCAACAGTGTCTTGTTCTAATGGTCATCTGGCTCAGGCAGCGGTCCATAACCAGCTTACAGAATGTCCTGGCCAAGACTGCTGCAACCACGGGGTGTCGGCAGGGCCACACAAAGAGCTCCTGTGACGTTGCCTTCCTGTCTCCCCACAGTGGCTTCACTATTGAGCTGGCCTCTGCCTTCACGGTGGTGATTGCCTCCAACATTGGACTTCCTGTCAGCACCACGCACTGCAAGGTAGGCCTCTGCCAGAGCCTGCCCTTCTGAGGGGCAGCAGTTGCTGGACTGTGTGGTGGGCCTGCCAGGAAGCGAGGAGGAGGAAGCATGTGCGTTTGTTTCCCTAGAATGCCCCCTCCTCCTCCTTCCTGACCCCCAGCGTGGCACCTGTTGTTGAGGCTTTGCTTTCTCTGCACCGTGGGAGAGCTGCCATTTGCCCTGTGTCCTCGCTGTTCCCACCTAGACTTTTGAAGTCAGATGTACGCTAAGCATATGCCTGCAGGTTCACATGGAGTGCGCCATTCGGTTCCCACCGCCACACGGACTTGACCTCAGAGTACGACAGAAGCGGAAGGAAACAAAATTATCTCAGAGCTATTATGAGATGTGGCTACTTCCGTTTTTCCCTTACATGACATTGACTGACTGACTCTGTTGCCTTAGAATCAATTCCAGATGACGGGCAGGAGGTAGGCCTCGCTGCTGGCATGGCGTTATGTCCCGTTATTCACAGCTGACAGCTAAGAAAACTCAGGCTCTCAGGAGCAAGCTTCTTCCCAAAGGTCATACAGCGAGCATGCGCTAGGACCAGGGTTCACATCTGCACCTCGTGTTCCATTCCTCCTCTGTAATCAGTCAGTCAACATCACCATAACAACCAACACGACTCTGATGTATGAGACAGATTCCCGCTGGGCACTGTTGGAAGTGCAGTGTGAAAGTGGAATCATTCATCATTGCAAGAAGCTTGGTTGAGAACAGCAGCATTTCTCAGTCTCAGATGTGGGCATTGACGCACAGGAGGGTTAAGAAGTACTTCCCACCCAGGGGCTGGCATGGTACTCTGGCCATCACCTCCCCAGTGCAAGGGAGGGAAGCAAGGAAAGATTGGCACACACACCGCTCAGCAACTGGGACTGCTCCAACTTCTGTTATTCTTAAAATAATGAAAGAGTCCCGGGAAGCAGCGTAGTGATAGAGTACATACTTGACATAACAGAGGCCCTGGAGTCAGTCCATAGGCCACAAAAGAAATAAATAAATAAAAGTAATCAAAGAAGCACGAGTTCATTGAAATACTTCAAACCACAAAAAACTGTGTAGATGACAAAAATAACCCTTTCCCTGCTCATCACCTCGTTTTAGCTCTCTGTGCCGTAGGGGACCCCTACTGAGGTCCCTAAAACATGCTCTCCAAGGAAAGGGCTCTTAGCTTTTCACCTTTCTATTACATTTATTCATTTACTTATTCAG